AGACTGAAGATACATTATTCATGGCTTTCCCCCTCATCGCTCCCGGATCATAATCTCTTCCCCATGCCAATGAAATGCCTGTCATCCTCCAAATGATATCTAATTTAGCCCTGAGAGTTCCAGGATACATTTTGGGTATAAATAGCCACCATGTGACCAAGTCTCGCCATTACGCAAGACATAAGGAAGTAGAAGGTACGGAAGATATGGAGGGTATACGAAAACGATGGATTCAGTCGTCGTGGTAAGCAATTGTACACTGTGGTTGTTATTAGCAGTGTCATTTTTAGTGTTATTTCTAACATCTGCAAGTACTCCTTTTTTTGCTCACAGATGTCACCTTGTATTATTGATACAATATTCCCAGTGCTAGAACTCTTCAAAAGTATGACTTAGTCTGTGGCTTATGCGTTACATTTTACTAAGCGTAAGGCCATGTCATGATTCTTGTCTTAAGATAAAATTTGTAAATTTGAATATTAATTGCTACCCAGAGTCAATACTCAAGAATAGAAGTGTCTTTAGTGTGGGTTTCCCTCTTGGCTCTGCATAAATCTGGAGGCCCGTTTCCAGAATGGGAGAGAAGTAACACAGCTGTCAGAACTTCATGTCCCCCAACCCTGTGGCAGCCCACGTTCATGACACTGCTGTTCTCACTCTCTGCTCATCCCACACTTCCCCTCATTCTCCACCTCCACCCACGAATACCTTTCACATGCACACTCCTTTCAGAGCTGCTGTCCGCAGTTTTCTGTTCTCACCAGACTCTTCCCTTTCTTCTTAGGGAGCCACTGAGGAAAGAGCGAAGGTTTGACTGGGTTTCTCTTTCCACAGCTGTGTCTTTACTACCTACTGGATCTCACGTGGCCATAATGTGTCACATGGCTGTGGGAAGCAGCCCACAGGGAGTCTCATAGAGCGTCGTGCAATTTTAAAAGTGGAAGAGACCGTGGAAATAATGGAATCCAGTGTTTCTGCAGTGCGGCCAATTGAGGATAATAGTAATTATATTCACTAACACTTGTTGAGTATGGACCTCAGTTATAGGAGCCCAGTGATTCTACGTGATAGACATTCTTTTCGTCAATATTTTACAGAGGATACTGTCATGCAGAAAACATCCCCGACCTGCCCAAGACCGCACAAATCGCAATTGGAACTGGGAGTTAATCCATCCATCTAATTCCCAAGTCTCTGCTTAGTGTTCATCCCCCTGATAGCTTCTTTTGCTCACCAACCGCCCAGAACACCGATCCTAAGAAATTCCATCATTCTGCATGTAATAATCACATTTTCCCCCAACTTCTTGCCACGTCGTGAGTGGCACTGGCAAACTTGACTTTTCCATCTCATGCAACTAACTTAGAGGCTCATTGAGAGTATGATCTCAGGACATAAAAACACTCAGTATAACAATAAACATGAGGTTTTATAATGATTTGTACTAGCCATAGCAGCACTGTTGTTTTTACATCAGAAGTTAGCTGACAACTTTTCTTCAGTAAATAACTCTTAGCCTCGAAAGGCATATTTTGGGTGTGAATTTCCGGTTGAGGTACATTATGACATGAGAAATACCAAGTTGTATTTGTAACTTCAAGGACATGGAAAATCTATGGCTTCAACGAACTAGAGAGTCATCTGAGACCTCACAGGTGGTCACTAGTCCTTCTTTCCCACATCTGACGTGGAGTTTCCTCCCCTAAATAACAGCTGAGGAAACGTTTCTTTTTTTTTTTTTTTTTTTTTTAATTTTTTTTTTCAACGTTTATTTATTTTATTTTGGGGACAGAGAGAGACAGAGCATGAACGGGGGAGGGGCAGAGAGAGAGGGAGACACAGAATCGGAAACAGGCTCTAGGCTCTGAGCCATCAGCCCAGAGCCTGACGCGGGGCTCGAACTCACGGACCGCGAGATCGTGACCTGGCTGAAGTCGGACGCTTAACCGACTGCGCCACCCAGGCGCCCCTGAGGAAACGTTTCTGATGAAGTTGTAGGCCACCTCCAGCAGCACGGAAAGTATTTCAGTTCTGAAACGTATCCATTTTATGCCCTCCCAAAGCACAGATCTGTATAGATTACAGGTTTATTACACGTAATCTAGCCTAGTAGGCTAGTAGTCTGTCCTGCTAAGGTCTCTTCCACCAACCAAAAATTATTGATCAGAGGTCCAGTGGAGGCTATTACGTAGTCACCGGTCTTTGCTCCTGTCCCACCTGTAAAGAGCATGAAGCGAATGAATTGGTTGCAAACCAGCTGTTCTAACTCCTCCCTCGTTCCAATGTCCAATAGACCTTGTTGAAAGTAACTACACTAGACCCTGTAGTTTGGTCCGTGTTTTACATACACCTTTCTAGCACAGTTCCTAATTCTCAGTGTCGCATCCTCTGGTATAATTCCAAGACTATGTTGCTCCCAAATTATGTGGCTTTCAAAATACAGCCTTCCCGGACTATTTGAAACTCACAAAGTCACTTACCGTATTTACCAGTTGCCATTTTAATGACCTTCAAATACTAGAATACTGCTATTCTAACTATTCTAGTAATTTCAAGTATAACATAGAGACATATAGAGAAAATACCTTTAAAAGTAGGTCTACGTAAATGGATAGATAAACCTTTTAGGAAAGGTTGCATTCATTGACTTGTGCCCTGGTTGCAATACATTGCGATTATTTCCTTAATGACGTGTTTTCCTTAGACTGGAAGTTATCAAAGGTGTATCTGTTTTGTATACCTATGCAGAATCTGGCATGGTTCCTGACATAAATACAAACATCCTCTCAAGCAACAGCTTTCGCAAAATGTTTTAATATTTGTTTGTTTCGTGTTATCACTAGCTCCCACAAACCTAGCGACTATCCATAGGAATGTATCATGCAGCAAATTAATTACAGAGAGAAGGTATCGTAATGCCTGAAACTTACTGCATATGGAGCTCCAATCCCCAAGGAAATTGAGTTATCAAATCAAAGATAAATACTAGAAAGAAATTGGCTATTTTAAATGAAAGTAGGACTTGCTAGTGTGTTCTCCTCAATTAGCTAGAGGCATCCTTTTTTTTTTCTTACCTCCCTTTCCCTAAGTGTGTTTCCACTTACACACACACACACACACACAAACCTTTGTTTATGCGTGCAAATGCCATGAGGTTTAGAAACAGGTAATTCACGATAGTAGTGCAGCCATACTGTTTTGGAAGCAAGGAAGGAGAGTTTGATTTCTTTTTTTTTTTTTTTTTTTATTGATGGGACAGTTTCATTCTGAACATTTTCCATAATGAAAAAGTGGTTTTCCATGAGGAAGGCCATGTGTGACACTGATTCTGGAATCTTGACAGCATTACTGTGGAAAGCCATGAATTCTGAGGGATTGGCAGGTTTTGGAATTCAAGATCACGGTTTAGATTCTTACATTCTGTTCCTTTCCATTAAATATCCACGACATTGTCATGGATGGAAAATCAAGGTGATTGTTTTTAGTTTTGAGAAAGTTAACATTGTTCTGAAGTACAGCATCATCAAAGCCATTAAAGAATAAACGATATATCACAGTAATTGACCACTGTGTTTTGAGCAGGTGCAATTTTTATTTTTCCACAAGGCACACAATCTTATATACAATGCATACTTGTCACCTTCCAAAATTGCAAGATATAAATAATATACACTGAAGAATATAGGAGTATGCTTTTGTTTCAGAGAAGAAAACGGCCTTAAGACAAACAGGTTTATGTCCTTCAGGGGTGGGATTTTCATATTTATGCTGAATCTGCCCAGCAGCTCTTGTTGAGAGAAGAAATCTCATTGGATGGACATACAGCCTTGTCATAGTTTTTCCTTAAAAACATCTCATTTAAAGCCAGTGTATTCCTTTTTTTAAAAGTGTATTTATTTTGAGAGAGACAGGGAAAGCACAAGCAGGGGAAGGGCAGAAGGAGAGAGAGAGAATCCTAAGCAGGCTCCTTGCTGTCAGAGCAGAGCCCAACACAGGGCCCAAACCCACAAACTGTGAGATCATGACCTGAGCCAAAATCAAGAATCAGACGCTTCACCGACTGAGCCACCCAGGCGCCCTCCAATGTATTCCTTTTGTTGCAGCCCATTTATCTTATTATGTCCCAATACTAGATGAAACATCTATAAATTTTCTCATAATGGGTCTGCAGACTTAAGAACTTGTATTTCTCGGTAATTCATCACAGAATGGAACAACTTTCTTAGGATTTACGTGAATATTCCCTCATGTTTTTCAAAACTAGCTTTCCAAACTGCTTCTTTTTTAGTATTATGCTTTGAGTTTTGACTTATGTTCTTTGCAAAGGGGAGCCCTTAGATTCTGGAGTATTTCTGAGACATTAATGGTGGTTCCAGTCTCCTTCCAGTCAGAATTCTACATTTCACCCTCCTTGCTGCATCCTGCATGGATGTTTCATTCCTCTCTATTTTTTTTATGACCCCTCACTAGATTTGAACTTCCAGAAGTCACCAGGGTGGGAAGATGGAGTTTATGTAGAGTTGACCTCGAGATTAGATACACACAATTCTGGTCTCAAAGAGACACAGCAGACAGCGTGCCCGCCTTGCTGTGATGGGACAGCAGGACACAAACATACATTATCACACGCACACGCATGTGCACACGCATGCACACGTGATCTCACACACACATATACTCACCTGCATGCACGCAAACACACATACACACAAACACACATGCATACACAAGCACATATACTCACACACACTCACATACACAAACATATATACACATTCCCATACATGCGCACACACAGGCAGGCATGCAGAGATATACTCACACTTTCACATATGCATGCACACACCGTCAAGCACATGCACACACTTACGCACACAAAGACACGTACGCCCATGTAATTCCTCACACATGCATGCACACGTGTGCACACATACACACTTCTGACAAGTAAATACTTTTGTGTAAGTGGTATTTTTCCTAATATATATGACTCACTTTTCCATCCTTTAAAGTAGTGCCCTAAAATGACAAGCCACTCTCTCCCCTCTTCCAGTTTGAGGAAATTGGTGCCCACAATAATAGAGAAATTTGTACAGCCCTCATGGGCACTTAGAGCTACTTCTTGGGCTGCAAACTTAGATATAAAAACGAGCAGGATAATCTGGCTAAAATTCAGAATCCAATAATGGCCATAGATGCCATAAGGGCACACGGGGTGCTAATTGAAAGAAAACCCATTACTGTAATTTCATTCCATGATTGTGTCTCCATTATATTTTTGTACCACTTAAGAATCCTTCAAGAAACCCTCCCGGGTCTTAGTGTTCCATAAAGAGATTTTTATATTTCTCACACCAGTAGGGTTTGTTTCTGGAACTACTCTCTGTATAAATACCCCTCCCATATGATAGCCACGATTTTTAACCATGCGGCGAATGCCAATCAATATTTAGGCCCTTCCTACCTACATTTTGTTACAGGAATACAAAGCCACCCGAGAAAATCAATGAAATTTAAGAAACGCTCAAAGGAGTACTTCGTGTTCATTAGGAACCTTGCCTTTCTGCCTTACGTCACCTATTAGATGCCATGGAAATCTGGAATATACACAAATATCATTGTGGTAAAATTCTGAAGCCATAATATAAAACCCTCAGGGCAAGATTTGTTTCCGAAAGGAGAGAGTATATACACAAGACAGAAAGTACACCATGAATGGAAATGACAGCTGTGATGGTGCCTATGAGCACGTAGGCCTATACATTTGACTTCCCGCTAAATTCCAGGGGATGCTGCCCTAGGAACATAGAAGAGATTGGGTGTTATTTCTAACGTACCCATTTCTTCTGCCCAGGCAAATTACAGAAAAAGCCATTACCTCTGAAATCCTAAGTTTCAGGGGGAAAGAAAGGAGACTGTGTCATCTGGAAGTTTTGGCCAAATTATCCTAAATGTGCTGCCCACGGCATTATCCTCAGCTGGTACACTCTTCACAGAACACAGTGCAAGGCTGTGTCCAAGCACCACAGGGGACATCACGTCCTCGTTCAGCCCACGCTTCGGAACGTTTCTACTTCCTGCTGAAGGCCACACGCTCCTAGCCCAAGATTAACACGGGCAAAACCCCCTCCCTCCCCGGAGAGAGAGAATTTGGTAGCAGCTATATATTCACGAAGAGACGCTGCATGTAGATTAGATTCTGCCAAGTCAACAACCGGGGAATGAGTACCCTATTTCATAATTGATTAATACGTGCGTTGTGAGTACCGTTGAAGGACTAAATGGCACTCACGGGTCTGAAAAAGACGGCACCTGACCAACTCCCAGAAAGAAGCTTTTGTTGTCCCCAAATGTCTCAGCATCAGCTCTCACTAACTCAGGGGATTCGTGTTAGTATGCCCTTGGGAGAGTGGCTGGCTGGAAGGCAAGCCCATTTCGTACTCGCATGTATCTACTATTATTTACAGGTGTAGCTATATACACTCTCGGTGGTATTTGAAGACACGCATTGTCATGAAATTATTTAGCTGAATGGCATGCTGAAAAACCGACTGTGGCTTCTAAGAAACTAAACTCGGTTGGAAACCACCTTTGGTCTGTTGAAAGTAACTTCATACCTATCAAGGTAACTTCCTGTTATACGTAAGCAGACACCTCAGGTGTGGGTCTGAGCCCTGCCTCCGCCGGAATCCTCACCGCACAGCCACTGTGAAGTGCGTCCACAAAGCATCAAGGGAGCGGGGCACGTGCCCTAGGAACGGTCCTTGTTTGTATTCAGGTGGTCGTCGTCAACGTCAAGCATCTGGATTGGAGGCCCACTGAGCTCTGAAACCAAGGTGTTGACTTGTCCTGTCTTTTTTCAACAGAGCTTTTGGAACCGCGTTGCATGGGAAGGCCGCAGCAGGTGGGGCCCGGACTAAATTTAGGTAACCAGAAGAGAAAAGGCTTATTTCTTTGTCCATCAAAGGAACTCAGAATCAGCCGTGCTTCCCTGCCCTAGAAAGGGGCTGGATTTGCTTACTCAAGTCTTCTCCACTCCATCCCGACAGCCTCGATGCTTCCGCTGACCTGGGTCGCTAACCCAGCCAGCGTCGTAGGACTTCAGACCACAAGACTTCTAAAAGTTTGTTAAAGATTCTACCTTTCCATCTCAGACTTCGGTGCTGATCTGAGTTAACCCTAGATCATTAAACTCTTCTCTTCCCGAAGAACTGTAGGAAGACATCTCCACGACTAGTCATACTGGTTTATTTGTCCCATCAACATCCCTCATGTAAGCAGGATCCTGAACGGCGTTGCGGACTCTACTGGTGCTCTGTCGCTCCGTCCTCATGTTAACTGGAAAGCAGAAGTCCCTAAAACACCGCTTGAAGTTTTCATCCAGAAACGCATAGAGAATGGGGTTCAGGCTGCTGTTGGTATAACCCAAGGCGATGCAGAAGTAATAGCTAGAGAGGGCAGCGGTGCTGTGAGAGGCATTCCCCAGGGCCTCCACAAGGATGAAGATGTGAATGGGGGTCCAACAGATGACAAAGACCGCCACCACCACCAGGACCAGCCTGGTGATCCGACGGAGGTTACGGTCTTTCTCTCTGGAGCCAGAGAGGAGACGGACGCTCTTCAAGCGCAGGATCATCAGGGTGTAGCAGATGATGATAATGAGGACAGGGATCACGAAGGCGAAGACGAAGACACAGATCTTCATGAAGAGGTCCCACCAGGAGTACTCGTCATCCGGGAACTGCAAGGAGCACTCGATGACATCCATGTCTGGACAAGGTGAACAAAACAAACATAAGCACCAGAAGAACGTCTTTTCTTATGACCGTGGCTGCAGAGTATTCTAAAAGTGAGTGTCAGGGGCGGCTGGGTGGCTCAGTCGGTTGGGCGTCCGACTTCGCTCAGGTCACGATCTCACAGACTGTGAGTTCGAGCCCCACAGGCTCTGTGCTGACAGCTCAGAGCCTGGAGCCTGCTTCCGATTCTGTCTCCCTCTCTCCTTGCCCCTCCCCTGCTCGTGCTCTGTCCCCCCCACCACCTCTCTCTCTCTCCTTCAAAACTAAATAAACATTAAAAAAATTTCAAAGTGAGTTTCAATACATTTGGGTGCAAAGGTACAATTACGGTGAGATGATATTACCTGAAGCAGATCACCAAATTGGGAATGAATGCTATATATGAAAACTACCTTATCTTTGTGCTTATTACAATGAAGCCATTTATTGGTGACCTCACAATAGTATGGAATAAATGAGACAAGCTCGCAATAGGAATTATGCAGTTGTGGAGCCCAGTTTAATGTGGACGACTTTCAGAAGAGCTAAATTGATCATTTATAGCATAAGTCTTTACTTGTATTTCCATTTATTAATAATTCTCCCAGACCCATGGCTCTGGCAATAAAAGCTAGTATCTATTTGTAATAAGTGATGAAATATTTCGAGTCTAGCCATTCAATTTAGCAAAAGTCAACTTGTCTGAAAGCATCAAGCGATTTATAAGAAATCATTATGTGTGTCAGTAAAAATTTATAAAAAAAAAAAAAAAACGTGCCCAAAAACGAACCAGGAATTGTGACTTAACGGAATCAATTGATTCAGGGCATTGTTGAAACATGAGTAAACTTTTGGAAAAGAAAGAGAAGGAGGAAGAAAAGAAAAAGAAAACAGAAGATGGAAGGGGAGAAGAAGGAAGAAGAAAACCTCATGAACACCGTCATCAAGAAAATTTGTAAGCAAGAAACATTTTTCGTTTTACTAACATTGACTATGTAACAGATAAAACAAATATTTCAGATGGCCACTTGGAAAATGGGGTTATTTGCTCTGCTTCTCGTGACTGCACAGCATTCTCTTTGGAATGGTCTTACGATTGGAAAGAGCGGAGACCCAGGATAAGCCCTTTGATGATGCTTCCACGGGGGGCCTGCTCACCCCTCGGGGGCTCCCTTTCTCCCCAAGCATCAGTGAGTCCACATTTTGTCCTCTTCCGTCTGAGCAGTCGTTGAGCACAGAGCAGGCAAACCTCTTTGCCTTGATCCTTCCTTACCGGTAAGTAATCATTAGCAATAAGAGTGTAATTTTCATAATGATAATATTTTCTTCCCACATTGGGCATCTCTATGTCAAAAATGGCAAAAGAATATTTTTAGAGAGGTGAAACAGTTCTATTTATGTTTTCTAAAACGTTTGGATGTGATCTTTCTTAATCAAATATCCCTTAGGAAAAACAAAAGGTATCGTCTTAGAATTTCAATTAGACATATTTTAAAATACAAAGAATGTAGTTATTTTGGCCAATTAATAAAGATGACTTTCTTAGAAATATGTCTTTCATCAACTAGACGCCAGATCAAACCTTTCGTTGGTAAATGCAAACTTCCAGAATAACTTAGGATTTTTGATTCTCTAAAAAAGTCATTGTTTAAACCACTATTACTATGAAGACTATTAGAAAAAATAAGCATCTCTTTTAATTTTTGCTTTTAGCGTTTATGGGAATACTAACAGTTAAAATCATTTTTTAAAATCATCCCTATTATCACTGAAAAAAGTATTTGTTAAACACCTTTTGACAGGTGACACACTGCAGGTGATTTGTCTATTGAGTCTAGCCTCCTCAAAGGTAGGGAACGTGTCTAATTTTTTGTTTTATTTTTTCCATGCTTAGTTTTTGTGTATTCCAAGATTGTCTCTTTCTTGAGGTCGGCCTCAGCTTAAATGTCACATCAAAGACATTTATACAGAGGCCACAGTCCTCTCCCTTGCAATCTATATTCTGTTTATATATTATACTCACCCTATTTTTAATCATCATATAATGACAGAAGCCAGACAGAAGCCCTCCTGTAATAAATAATATGTTACCTTTCCTGATGTTTTTCTCTCCATCCAGAATGCAAACTACTTTAGGGTAGATACCCAGCGTGTTTTATTCAATATTTAATCCCTGCTAGATAGGGTGGTGAGAACCACAAGATGCTTAAGGAATACAAATTGTTAAATAAGAACATAAAGTGAGGGGTGCCGCAGTGGCTCAGCCGGTTAAGTGACCGACTTGGGCTCGGGTCATGATCTCGCGGTTTGGGAGTTCGATCCCTGCATCGGGCTCTGGGCTGACCGCTCAGAGCCTGGAGCTGCTTCGGATTCTGCGTCTCCCTCTCTCTCTGCCCCTCCCCTGCTCATGTTCTGTCTCTCTCTGTCTCTCAATAACAAATAAACAAAAAAAATTTTTTTAAAGAACATAAGGGGCTGAAGCAGTAAAAATTGTTAAGTAAGTGAATAAATGAATATCACGTGGAAACCCTCGAAAGTAGGGACTGATTACAGTAGTTATTATGGAAAAGCAATCTGCTAAGACAAGTCAGGCAGCATAAGAGCTGATATTTAATTTGGATACATCTTCTAACTGTGAGTATCAGCTTCCTCTTGAACAAATGATCTTGCACGTAGTAGGGGCTCAATAAATATTTGCCAAATGGGTGAAATAGTCAACTACAGCTGCTTTTACAAGACTTTGGGAAACATCCAGTGATAGAGTTAGAAACATCCTCCGGAAATGTCAATGAATTTAAGTTTATCCCAACAAAGAGAAAGGAGAACACGGAGGCAATCAACAAGGAAATTCAAGTCCAAGGGCCCCATTTTTACAAACTGTTCTCTTTTGGGGAAAAGAATGCATCTTTAGCCTTCGTGATGCACACAGGCCAAAAGTGAAGGATACAAAAGTATATTCCATGCAAATGGAAACCAAAAGAGAGCAGAAGTAGCTGTATTTACATCAGACAAAACTGACTTCAACTTAGAAACTGTCTTGAGAGGCAAAGGAAATCACTATATAATGATACAAGGGCCAAGTCACCAAAGCGGATGCAATAATTGTAAGTATATACGCACCCGACACTGGAGGACCTAAATATATCTACCATCTATTAAGAGAACTGAAGGGAGGCATAGATAGTAATAATAGGGGACTTCTATATCCCGCTTTCAACAATAGATAGATCCTCCAGATATAAAATCAAGAAGGAAACAGCAGACTTGAACAGCACTATAAATAAAATGGACTTAACAGACACATACAAAACATTCAAGAGCAACAGAATACACATTAAAATATTAAGCATTTAATTAATATTAATATGTAATTATAATATTACTATAATGCTTAATACATTAATATTTAATTAATATTAATTAATGGATATTAATATTTAATTATCAAAATAGTAAATATGTGAATATGTAAATATTAATGCACATGAAATATTCTCCAGTATCGATCACACATTATGCCGCAAAGCAAGTCTTCACAAATTTAAGAGGACGGAAATCATATTAAGTGTCTTTGCTGACCCTGTCAAAATAGAAATCAAATGGGAGGAAAGCCGGAAAATTAACAAATATGTAGAAACTAAATAACACTCCTGAACCACCAATGGGTCAGAGAAAAAGTCAAAGTAAAATACAAAATGCTCGAGATGAATGGCAATGCAAATACAACATACCCAAACTAGGGGATGGTGGCAGAGGCAGTTCTTAGGGGAAAGTGCACAGTGATAACCACCTCGCGTGAAGAAAAAAGAAAGATCTCAAATAAATAACCTACCTTTATGTATTAAGGAACTAGAAAAAGAAGAACAGACAAAGCCCAAAGTTGGTGGAAGGAAGGAAATAATGAAGAAAAAAAGCAGAAACAAATGCAACAGAGACCAGGAAAACAAAAGACCATACATAGAAACAGACAACAAACAGAAAACGACAAACAAAATCTTTTCGAAAAGATAAACAAAATCAAACCCTTAGTTCGACTCAGAAAGAGACAGAAGACTAGGCGAAAGGAAAGACATTCTAACTGGTAACACAGAAATACAAGGGATCATAAGAGACCACTATGAACGATTACATGTCAACAAATTGGAGAATCTAGAAGAAATGGATACATTTCTAGAAACATACAACCTACCAGGCTGAATCATAAAGAAATAGAAAGTCTGACAGATCAATAACAAGTAGATTGAGACTACATCAAAAAACCTCCTAACAAAGAAAAGCCAAGCGCCAGGTGGTTTCGCTGGTTAAGTTCTACCAAGCATTTAAAAAGGGTACCGATCCAAGGGCTCCTGGGTGGCTCAGTCGGTTAGGTATCTGACCTCAGCTCAGGTCATGATCTCACGGTTCATGAGTTCCAGCCCTGCGTCGGGCACCATGCTGACAGCTCAGGGCCTGGAGCCTGTCTTCGGATTCTGTGTCTCCCTCTCTCTGCCCCTCCTCCACTCACACTCTGTCTTTCTCTCTCTCTCTCTCTCTCTCTCTCTCAAAAATAAGTAAACATTTAAAAAATTTTTTTAAAAAGGATGCGAATCCATTTCAAACTCTTTCAGAAGTTGAAGAGGAGGGCCCACTTTCCAAACTCATTTTACAAGGCCACCATGAACCTGATACCAAAGGCAGACAAGGACACCACAGACAAAGACACCACAATATCTCTGATGAACAGAAATGCAAACATCCTATAAAACACTAGCAAACCAAATTCAACAGCACATGAAAAAAATCATATGCCAATATCAGGATTTATGCCTGCGATGGAAGCAGGATTTATCCCTGTGAGGATTCCCCAAACCCAACAATGTGACATCACATCAATAGAATGATAGATAAAAATCACGGTCATGTCGATAGATGCAGAAAAATATCTGACAGAAATTCAACATCCATTCATGATTAAAACTCTCCACATATTAAGTATGGAAGGAACGTAGCTCAACA